CTCTCTCTTTTTTTTTTTTTTCAGTCGGAAACAAATTTTAAAATTTAAAGCATTTTATGATGAGTATTGTGGCTCGTGAGAGACTGAGGCAGGAGGATTGCCGCAAATTTAAAGCCAGCCTGGTCTATTGAATGAGTTCCAGGCCAATCCCCCTTACAAAAAAAACAAAACAGGTCTTAAAAACAAAACCAAAAGCAAAAACAAAACAAAACTAAAACTAAAGAAAGTGTGTGTGTGTGTGTGTGTGTGTGTGTGTGTGTGTGTGTATGTATGTTCGGGTATTCAAGTGTATGTTGCATATGTAAAGGCCAGAAAAACTCACTAGCTAGCTCACCAACCTCCAACCTCCACCTTTTTTTCTTTCCAATTTTCAGGGTATGTGTTACCAACACTGACACCACTGTTTTTGTTTATTTGCTTTTTAAAATCTTTTAATCGGCTGGGCAGTGGTGGCGCACGCCTTTAATCCCAGCACTTGGGAGGCAGAGGCAGGCGGATTTCTGAGTTCGAGGCCAGCCTGGTCTACAGAGTGAGTTCCAGGACAGTCAGGGCTACACAGAGAAACCCTGTCTCGGAAAACCAAAAAAAAAAAAAATCTTTTAATCGTACAGGTGTTTTACACGTATATATGAGCAACAGGTTTGTGCAGTGCCTGCCAAGGCTAGAAGGGAGCATCTGGCGTCCTGGAGATGGAGTTACCAGGCAGTAGTGACCACTCAGGATGCATGTTGAGAATGGAACTTGAGACCTATGCAAGAGCAGAATATGCTCTTGGCAACCGAGCCATCTCTCCAGGCCAGTCATACAGTATTTGTTGTATTGACTTATTCAGTAATACCGTCATGCAGGCTCATCTATGTTGTAAGGGTGTGTCAGAATTTCCCTCCTTTGGAATGCCACAGTGCATTCAGTGTTCCTATACCCCACACTTTATTCAGGTAGACACTGCTGTTGCCCCAGCCTGTTGGCTGTTGGAGATGCTTCTGCTGTGACATGCAACCTCTCTGAGACCCCTCCTTTTGAGTTCTTCTGGGCATTTCACTGGAAGTGGGATTCTGGAATCACGTGGTTGCCATATTCCCCATGGCAGCTGGAATAGGGCTTCACACCTTGCTTTCTTCTCTTACTGACTCATCTTAGGAACAGAAGGATCTAAATCACCCTCTTCAAAAATATCATTTTCTAAGTACTATGTGCAGAAAAGTGCACAAACAATAAGCTAATGTCTTGATGAATTTCATAAACTGAATATACCTGATGCCCAAAGAAAAGAAGAAGGCGCAGGTTATGGATAGGTTGTATAACTGTCTATTCAGCACGGAAACGTTCTGGGGAGGACAAAGAATGCATAGGAATCTAGAAGTAGGCTGGAAAGAGAGCTTGGTTGTTAAGATGTTTGCTGCTCTTCCAGAGGAAGAGGTCAGTTTCCAGCATCCATGACCAGTGGCTTACAACTAACTGTAACTCCAGACCCAGGAGAGCTAACACAACGCCATCTTCTAGCCTCTGTGGCATACACTCAGACACATATACATATACATGAAATAAAACTAAAAAATAGTCTTTTTTTTTTTGGTTTGGAGACAGAGTCTCTTTATGAAGCCCTGGCTGTCCTGAAATTCACTATGTAGACCAGGCTGGCCTCAAATTCAAAGATCTGCCTGCTTCTGCCTCCAGAGTGCTGGAATTAAAAGCAAGCACCACCACACTTAGCTAAAAATCTTTAAATAAAGAAGTAAAGAAAATATGTGTTGTGGTTTCTCTCAAGCATTTAAATACTTGGTCCCCAGTTGGTAGCTGATTGGGAAGGATTAGGAAATATGGCCTTGATGAGGGAAACATGTCATTGGGGGCTTTAAAGTTTCAAAAGGGTGTGACATTTTGAGTTTGCGCTCTCTTACTCCTGCCTGTAATTCAAGATGTGGGCTCTCAGCAGCTGCTCCAGGCACCTGCTACCAGGCCTTCACTGTGCCATCATAGTATCCCTCTAGAATTAAAAGCCCAATTAAACTTTTTTATTACATACTTACCTTGGTAACGGTGTTTTATCATAGCAATAAAAAGGTAATAAATACAACATGCAAGGCTTAAAATCTAAAGGAGGCTTGCAAGGCATATGAAAGTCCTGAAAATTACAGGACTCACAAGGCCCTTCTCCAAAGTTATGAAAGGCGTAAACAATTGCTAGGAAGAAGAAAGCCTGCAGCTCAGCTGTTTTAGATCCAGAGATACAGTTCCAGTGAGCCACCCATTCTGAGATTTTATTCATTGTTGTTGAAAGTGGCTTGCTTTGCCGGGCGGTGGTGGCGCACGCCTTTAATCCTAGCACTTAGGAGGCAGAGGCAGGTGGATTTCTGAGTTCGAGGCTAGCCTGGTCTACAGAGTGAGTTCCAGGACAGCCAGGGCTACACAGAGAAACCCTGTCTCGAAAAACCAAAAAAAAAAAAAAAAAGTGGCTTGCTTTTGTTTTGTTTTGTTTTTTTTCTATTTTCTTTTCTTTTTCTTCTAGTGCTAGGGATTGAACCCAGAACTTTGTACATCCTGGGCCAGTGCTCTATTATTTAGGTATAGCTATATCCCTAGATCTGTTTTACTTTTTGTCTTCCAGGCTGGCCTCCGGCTTGCTATATAGCAGAGGATAATCTTGACCTGATCCTCCTGCTTCCACCTCCTGAAGGTTGTTGAACTTACAAGTGTGTACTACCATACCTGTTTTTATGCAATGCTTGGAATTGAACCCAGTTCCTGTTAGATAAGCACTCAACCAACTAAGCTACATCTCCAACCCTGTCTCATGATTTTATGATTGGATCTGAATGATGTATCAGGAAAAGCATAGACGTGATACTGCATTTTTTGGGCATCATGTTATGGGACATAGAATACATAGTGAGGGGCTGGGGGCGTGGCTCAGTGGTAGAGCCCCTGCCTAGAATCCCCCAGTGAGGGGCTGGGGGTGTGGCTCAGTGGTAGAGCCCCTGCCTAGAATCCCCCAGGGAGGGATTGAGGAAGTGACTAAGGTACAGTTGCCTATTAGCATGCAGGAGGTCCTGGATTCTCTAGCATAGCGCTCTCTCTCTCTCTCTCTCTCTCTCTCTCTCTCTCTCTCTCTCTCTCTTCTCTCTCTCTCTCTCTTCTTCCCTCTCCCCTCTCCCCCCTCTGCATTCTAGGCCTTTTACAAAATGAAAAAAAAAAGACCCCAGGCCTTCCCTGGCCTGCTAAAGAGGTAGACTGAGGAGATTCTTCAAGGCTAATAATGGAGGCCGTGCTTCTAACTTGACCGGAATTCACTAGAAGGACAAGAAGGATGGGGTGTCACTGAGCTCAGTGGTCTGATGGGGAAATGAGGCTGGTAGGAGTTCATACCCTCATTCCCTGAGTCAGAAAGGAGGGCCTACTTTGTGCCAGCCACTGTTTTCAGGCCCGAGACACATCCCTGAACAAAAGAGAGTAAATCCCAGCCCCGTTGGTGCTGATGCTGACAGGAGCAGGCAGGGGCGGCATGCGAACGGAAGAGGTTAGCAGGTTTTTTTACATGGTGTGAAAGACAACTAGAACAAGGGGAAGGAGCTAGTAAATACCTTCTGGTGAAAACCATCCTGGCCCTTGCCCCTGGCATTATCCCTCCCGTGGGTCCCCGTGCCAGAAACTCACACTGAGCCAAGCGTGCTCCCAGACGCCATCTGCTCTCTCCGGGAGTGGGGCCCGTGCCAGCTTGAGTGTTTGGACTCTTGGCAAAGTTCCCTGGCACCCCAGAGCTAGGGAACTCCAGGGCCCCACATCAGGCCGGGGGAATCCTCCCGTCTAGCCAGATGGAGGGCTGCAGGAAAGGGAGGCAGTGCAAGCTGGGTGGGCTCCCTGAAGGAGGGGATGTGATATCGTGGAGGGGTCAGGAGAGTTCTTCAGTTGAGCGGACATGAATTATGCATAATAAAATTGATAAACACATTACGCTCGTTCACCGCGCTTACTTTGCCAGGCTTTGGGTAAATGCGTGGGTATTTGTTGTCATATCTAAGTTAAATCCATATGTTGGGCTGTTGAAATGACTCAGGGGAAGGCGGGGGAGGGGGCTTGCCGCTAAGCCTGATGACCTGTGTTGGATCCCAAGAACATACTTGGTAGAAGAAAAGTCCTACAAGTTGTCCCCTGACTTCTACACGTGCTTGCTTTATATAGCATGTGTGTACCACACAAAATAAATAAATGTAATGAAAAAAATTAATTGTATGCCGTCACATCTAGGAGGCTGGGCATATGTCCTGAGTTTTCAGATGAAGGAATTCAGAGTTAGAGAGATGAGGCTATCTATGGTCCAAAGTTCACACATGCAGAGAGCACAACCCTGAATCATAGACAGCACGTCACTTAAGGATGCTTATCCCATCCTAGACCATTCCCTGGCCTCTGTCCTTGGAAGCTTCACTCAACCTTCCTACCTCCGCTTCTTCCTTCCCCTGGGGCCAGCAACGAATTCTACCGTGGGTTTACACTCTGTTGGCACTGGTTCCATTTATGTCAGCACAGGAGCCTGTGTCCTGGCCTCAGGTTCCTCATCTGCAAATTGAAGGGAATACAACCAGCACCGGGCCAGGGGTAGCATCTGCATTCATTGAACAAGCTGTGTTCTCGGACCAGTTACTTCACCTCTCTGTGCCTCTTTGCTGCCAAAACAAACAAACAAGCAAGCAAACAAAAAAAAAAACCAAAAAACAAAAACCATACACCGTGCTTCTTAGAATTGTTCTGTGGCTGTGTGTATCTAAAGCACCTCTTAGAACAAGGCTCAAAGCTGTAGTTATTATTATTGTTGTTGTTGGGCCATCTTTTTGGGTGAGGAAAGTGGAGTCCAGCCATGTTTCAACCAACAGGTTTCAGCCTCCTTAAGGGAGAAGCTGCTGGTTCTGGGACCCCCAGAGTCGGAGGAGCCTTCAAGGCCCCCTCCCGGGATGCCGCGAAGGGGAGGAGTCTGGAGCTGTGGCTCTGCCTCTCTCCTCCCCAGCGCGCTGCAGGGCTGGGGCGCAGAGATCCAAGCACAGCTCCGCAGCTCTCAGATCCTGCGCAGGGTACCCCGGGGCTCCCGATCTCTGGGTTCAGGTTTGCCCATCTCTGGGCGGCAGGGCAAGGTGGGTGCCCTGCGAGACCCAAGGAGGTCGGGCGTCTGGCCGTGGGCGGTGAGACTAGATGGGGACATTGCTCCTCCCCTAGCGTCCTGGAGTTGCGGGGGCGAGGAAAGAATGGGGGGCGAACCTTTGGCGGAGACCTGCGTTAGATTTGGAAAGACCTGGGGCAGGGGATTCGTAGAATGAGAAAGATCTTTCTGGCTGAATGTGAACAGTACATATGCTGGAGAGCTAAGGCGACAGGCCAGTGGGGAGATGTGTAGGGCAAGGTGCGACACCGGTTGAGCTGGACAGGTGTGCAGTGGAAAGGGTGCGAGCTGAGAAGCGTGGCGGTGGGGCTTTCTGCGTGGTGAGGGCGTTTGCGGTTTCAGATGCAGCAACGGTAAGGACTGGATTGTTCAAGGAGGCTCAGGGATACATAAGGATACGGAAGACCGTTGCCGGCCTCAGACCTGGTTTTGAGGGGAGCCGCTTTCATTTTGCAGCATGTGCTCCAGGAAACCTTTGGCAGACGGCAGGGTGTGGGTGTGGGTGGGTTTACCTTGAGAGGGGATGGGTGACAGTGGCCCTGGGAACTGAGTGTGAAGGCTAGGGGTGTGTGGACTAGGGTGGAGTTCCTAGGTCACTGGGGATGAGGGATAATGTGTGAATTATAGGAGGAAGGCTGTGAACCTGTGAGCCTGGGGATGGCAGGGAGGGAGGGAGGGAGGGAGGGAGGGGGGGAGGGGGGGAGGGAGGGAGGAGAGAGAGAGGGCAGAGACAGTTCATGCAACAAACATGTGTAAGACATGGTTTACAATGATTGTCCAACAGGTATATAATTTTTATTTAGTTTTTGGTTTTTTGAGAAAGGATTTCTATGTATGTCCTTGGCTGTCCTAGAACTTGCCTTGTGGACCAGGCTGTCCTGGAACTTACAGAGATCCACCTGCCTCTGCCTCCCAAGTGCTAGGATTAAAGGTGCATGCTACCACTGCTCAGTAGTATATAATTTTTTAAATGATTTATTTTTATTTTATATGCATTGGTGTTTTGCCTGCATGCATGTCTGTGTGAGGGTGTTGGATCCCTGGAACTGGACAGCTGTGAGCTACCATGTGGGTGTTGGGAATTGAACCTGAGTCCTCTGGAAGAACAGCCAGTGCTCCTAAATGCCATTTTTCCAGCCCTAAATGCAGGTGCGCGCGCACACACACACACACACATATATGGGGGGGTCGAATCCCAAAATTAAGCATCTGGGACTGTGAACTAGGTAACCCCCTTTCTAGTCTCAAAGTCTGTTTTTCTATTTGTAAAACAAATAGATGTTTTGAGCTCGCTCATCTGTCCAAAGCTGACAGGCAGACGGATGGGTGATGGATGAAGGCAAGACTTTTGAAATTTGCATTTGTTTCCTCCTCCTGTCTCCAGGACCCTCTACCACAGCCTCCACAACCATGGACAACTCTAGCATACAGGAGCTCCAGCAGCCCTTACTGCCAAGCATAACCTGTGACCTCCTGGCTCCCAAGTCTGAGAAAGCAGAGCTGGGAAGCTCCTTCCCAGAACCTGCCTTTGCAGAGTCCTCGAGAGGCTGGCAGCTCCTTCTGCCACCTCTTCCTTCAGTGAGCGCTGGCCTGGGGGAGCCTGAGACCCCTGACCTTGAGGTAAGAGCATCAGGCTGATGGTAGAGGGATCTCCCTAGATCTGGAGTCTCTTGACTGTTAAGGACTGGCTGGGAGTCCCACAAGTCTCTGGGAAGCCATGGCTGACTTGGAGTTCTCTATGTAGACCAGGCCAGCCTTGAACTCAGAGAGATCCACCTGGTCCTGTCTCCCAAGTGCAGATTTTTTTTTTCTTTCCCTTTTCTTCAGACTTCAACCTTGTTCCTTAATCTTTGTGTGCTGTCTTCCTTCCGACCTGACTATTTCTCTTTCCAGAACCCATAAACAACCTGGCTTCTGTTGACCGAGTTTTTCAAGTTAAAGCCTTTCTTTTTTTTTTTTTTGAAACCTAACATTTCTTAGTGTGTGCACTAAGTTAGTGTCTGGAGTGAGGCTGGGGTACATGTGCAGGGGTCAGAGGACAGCATTCTGGAGCCAGGTCATTAGGCTCGATGGCCAGTGGTTTTACTTGCTGACCTATCTCCCTGCTTCCCCTCCCACTGATTTAGAGTATCTTTTAATTTCAGATTTTTATTAGTTTAAAACGTTTCATGAGTGTGGGTGTTTTTCTCGCCAACCTGTGCGTTGTATTTATGCAATGTCTGTGGAGGCCAGAAGTGGGCACTGGATGCCTCGGGACTGGTGTTAACTGAGCTGCGAGCCACCATGGGGGTGGGTGCTGGGAATCCAACCTGGATCCCCTGCCAGCTCCCTTAACCTATGAGCTTTCTCTACAGCCCTTATTTTTAAGTGTGTGTGTGTGTGTGCTCGCGCGCGCCGGTGAGTAACACATTCCCCACTACTCAGATCCCCTGGAGCTGGAGTTATGAAGCAGTGACCACTCAGCCATCTATCTCCCCAGCCCCACCTTTTCTGAGACAGAGTCTGTATATCTCGCAGGCTGGCCTTAAACTCTTCATCCTTCTACCTCAGCCTCCGAGAATGCTGGAGTTACACGTCTGGGCCAACGCGGTCATCATAACGTTACTTTTTATTTTTTTATTTTTCAAGACAAGATTTTTCTGTGTAGACCAGGCTGTCCTGGAACTCAAGAGATCCCCCTGCCTCTTCCTCTTGAGTGCTGTGATTAAAAGTAGTAAAGTCATTTTTCTTTTTTTTTTTTTTTTAAAAGATTTATTTATTTATTATATATGAATACACTGTAGCTGTCTTCAGGCACACCAGAAGAGGGCATCAGATCTCATTACAGATGGTTGTGAGCCACCATGTGGTTGCTGGGATTTGAACTCAGGACCTCTGGAAGTGCAGTCAGTGCTCTTAACCACTGAGCCATCTCTCCAGCCCGTAAAGTCATTTTTCTAATGTCATATTTCTTCCTCATATTATGAAACACGTCATTTTTACATTTTAACATTTATCTTCTTTGAGACAAGGCCTGATGTTCATGCCAGCCTGAACTTCTCAGCTCACACTCGTCTTTTTGCCTCAGCCAGAGTGACAGAAAATATAGGCCTATGCCACTCCACCTGGTTTGTGTCTTTTGTGAGATGGTTTCATGTAGCCCAGGCTAGCCTCAAACTCATCATGTAATTGAAGATGACCTTGAACTTCTGTTCCTCCTGCTTCTACCTCCTGAGAGCTGGGGTTAGAGGTAGGTGCCAGCACCTTGGTTTTCCCATTTTACTTGAGGTGGGGTCTTGTTAAGTTGCCCAGGCTGACTTTGAACTCACTTATAGTCCTGACAGGACTTGAAATTTCAGTCCTCTGGACTAGACTTGATTTCTGTCACTTTTTCTTAAAAAAAAAAAATCTCATTGAGCGACTTTATGTCATATTCTGTCAAGTGAGTTGCAAACCTGCCCAGAATCAAGGGGAGGAACATCAGAGTCACATCAAAAGATTATTTGGAGCAAAGGGTTTTGGCGCACGCCTCTAATGCCAGAACTCCGGAGGGAGAGGCAGGTAGATCTCTGTTGAGTTTAAGGGCAGCCTGGTCTACATAGTGAGTTCTAGGACAGCCAGGACTACATAGTAGAGACCTTGTCTTAAAAAAAGGGGGAGGGGGAGGAGGAAGCTGGAGAGATGGCTCAGCCATTAAGAACACTGACTGCTCTGCCGGAGGTCCTGAGTTCAATTCCCAGCAACCACATGGTGGCTCACAACCATCTGTAATGGGATTCGATGACGCCCTCTGGTGTGTCTGAAGACAGCTGCAGTGTACTCATATAAATAAAAAGCACTTGGAACCAGGTTTAGAGTGTGCCCATGATTCTGACACTGGGGAAGCTGAAGCAGAAGGGTTTCAGACAGCTGAATTACACATCACTTTAAAGAACAGCCTGGGGCTACAGAGAAACAAAGACCGTGTCTAAAATCAAAACAAGTGCATGGGGTTGAAAACAGCCCTCCACACGTACGGTTTGCTGACTCTGGTTGGTCCTAGCATCACAGACTTTGACAACTGTGTTGCACCTCTGAATTCCTGCTTGACATTTGTGTATGGTGTATTTGACTTTGTGTCTGGTCATTTTGTTTGAAAAAAAAAATATTTTTAAGATCAATTATTTGGAAGCCTAGAATGAAGGTGCTTTTTTCCAGGGAGGATTTGGTTTGTTCCTGATGAGCTGTCTGGAGATATCAGTGATGGATTCTGTTTGTTCTGTGCTTGTTGTTTCTGTGCTAGGATACATGCAGGTCTCATGTAACCCAGGCAGGCCTCTTGATCTTCCTGCCTCTACAACCAGAAGGCTGGCATTCTAAGTACACTTGGCTTTAGAACCATTTCTGGCAGGCAGGTTTGTGCTAACAATGCAGAGCACTGGAGCCTTTTTAACTCTTTGCACGTTCTCAGACCCAAGGTAAAGTCTGCCCCCACTTCAGATGTTTTCACTTAGGGATTATAAGAATCTACCCATAGTTGGATCCTTGAGAATGAACTCAGCGCCATGGGGGGGTGTCTCTCTGGAGACCCTCAGAGTCCAGTCTCCCCTCCAAGGGACCCAGGGGACAGAGAAGTCTCTGGGAAGGTCCCAGGGAAGTACTGGTCTATGGGGGGGATGGGGAGAGAAGATAGATAAGGATCACCACGTATGCTCTCTCCTGTTCACAGGACACATCATCCAGTGACAGTGACTCAGATTATGATGGGGGCGACCGGCTCTCTCCACTTCTTCCCCACGACCACCTCGGCCTGGCGGTGTTCTCCGTGCTGTGTTGTTTTTGGCCTGTAGGCATCGCTGCCTTCTGTCTGGCCCACAAGGTTAGTCTGTGTTTGGGACTGGGAGGGTACTGGCTCAAGGGAAAAAAAAACCCAAAACAAACCAGGCATGTAAGGAGCTATGCTATGCTTGAGGCAGTGGGCGTGGGCTGGAGAGAAGTTTCCACATAGAAACACATAGGTGTGACCAGATGTGGTGGTGGTGACTGCCTGTAATCCCAGTATTCGGAGTGCTGAGGAATTTCAAGGCCAACCTGGCTACCAACTAGGATCTTGTCTCCAAAGAACCCAAATCACAAAAGAACAGGGCAGAGGATGCAGCTCGGTTGGCAGAGTGCTCACCTGGCATGCTTGAAGTGCTGGGTTTGATGACCAACACATAAGGGATGAAGGCTGGGTGACCTAAACTCAAGGTTATCTTTGGCTACAAAGGGACCCCAGGCCAGCCTGGGTTACCTGAGACTTTGTGTCAAAATAACCAAAATAAACAAAAATAAAAACTAAGGAAGGAAGGACACTGGAGGAAAACCAAGACACATTTCATGAATGCAGCGTGGTGGTGAAGGACTTGGAACCATCCTCATTTTATCTTTTATAAGACTATGGAAACTAACAAATGCCCCATAGGTTTCCCTCCTCAGTAAATGGGAACAACATCTTTCTTGGGTTTACTGTGTAAATCAATGGAGTTAAAATACTGGCATACAATAGTGGCATCTGGGAATCCCCCAGACAGGGTTTCTTTGTGTAGCCTTGTGTCCCGGCCCGAGCTCTGGTCCTTGGGTCAGGGTCTAGCAAGAGAGAGAGAGTGGGGATGGAGGGGCAAGAGATGCAAGGAATGAAGACAAGACCGAGAGTCTGTTCAAGTCCCGTTTGTTGAAAGGAAATCCTGGGTATATATACAAGCACAAGCAGGGTAACACAGATGAAGACACTTTACCACATGCACCTTGCAGCTGGGCACTAAACAAAACAAGATATGTGAGAAAAACAAGATGTTTATCAGAGTGTGCTCAGCTGTTGTAGGCTGTTGAAAGCAAGTCTCTTGTCGGGGTATATGGCCTGAGATGGCTGCAAAGATGATAGCCACTTTCTGCTAGGACTTGGGTCCCAACAGCCTTGGGTGTCCTGGAACCCACCCTGTAGACCAGGCTGGCCTTAAAACAACGTAAGAGATCTGCTTGCCTCTACCTCCCAGTGCTGGGATTAAAGCTGTGCCCCACCACCTGTGTAATACATTCTTTCATTAAATACCCAGCAACTATGTTGCCCCAACCCTGGTTTGGGAATAGATTAATCATACTGGGTGAGGGCAAGGTGGGGGGGGTGGGCCACAGGAAGCAGAATGGAGGGTGAGGGGTCACTTTGGTTACCACTGCCCACTGCCTCTACAGACCAACAAGGCTTGGGCCAAGGGGGACGTCCAAGGGGCAGGGGCTGCCTCCCGCCGAGCTCTCCTGCTGGGGGTCCTAGCCATGGGGCTGGGCCTCTGCACATATGCGGCTGCCCTGGTGACCTTGGCTGCCTACCTTGCCTCCCGAGACCCGCCCTAGTTGCCCTTCGGCCCCCACTGTGAATGCAGAGGCCAGAGGACCATCAGACCCGTGAGCAGAGTGAATGATCTTGGTGCCCACAGTGGTGACGGCGAGGACCACATCACCCAGAAACGAGTCAGCTGGAGGCCCCCTCCCTTTCCTGGCTACCCCTACCCAGAAGGAAGCAATGTGAGACATTAAAGACACCCTGAAGCCAAACCAGAGTCTGTCTGTGTCTGGGTGTGTCCAGGGTGGACAGGTAGGAATATCTGAAAGCAGGAGGGACCGACTACATTAGCCGGCTGTGGCTGGCCTTAGACCTCAGAGCTTGAGGTGGGATGTTACAGCATTTTCTTCTCTATAGCCATCAGAGCAGAATTAAGAGACTTGGCTTGGTAGCTGTGTGACCCTACACCAAATAAATGACTTCATGAACTTGTGTCTTCTGCAAAACAGGACAAGGTTTACCTCGTTGGAATGTGTGTGTGTGTGTCTGTCTGTCTGTCTTAGCCTGCCTCTGAGCTCTTCCCACAGCGAATGGAGGAACTATTCAGTAGTTCATAATCAACAGAAAGGAAAACTGGTGGTAGAGAAGGACCTGGGTGCCATGCTTGTTCTGGCTCACAAGGCTGAGAGAAGAGGATACAAGTTCAAGCTGGCCTGGGGTACTGGGAATGGACTTAGTGGTAGAACATGTAGGTAGAACAGGTAGGACCTAGCATATCCTAGGGCTTTGGTTCAATCCCTAGTACTGTTGGGTAGAGAGCCTGCCTTAACAATTTAAGGAGACTGACCCAACCTAAAAATGTGAAGCCGGCACTACCAGTACTTGGGAGGCAGAGACAGGTGTATCTCTGAGTTTAAGGCCAGCCTGGCCTACAGAGGGAATTTCAGGACAGCCAGAGATATGCAGAGACCCAGTCTGGGGCTGGTTGTGGTGGTGAAGAGGGCCAGGGGCATGGCTCAACAGTAAAAGGCTTGCTCAGAATTTACAAGACCCTGTGTTCATATCTCAAAGTCAGCTGCTGCTGATGGTGCCTAGCTCTTGGGAGGCAGAGGCAGAAGATTTTTCTGAGTTCAAGGGCAGCCTGGTCTACAAATGAGAGTTCCAGGTCAGTTAAGAGCTACGCAGAATGGGCTTCGAAACCAGAGAACTTGTTGGGTCTTGAAAGGCCAAATAAGTAAGTCCAAGAGCCACCAAAACAAACAGGAAAGTGGATCAAGAAATTGTACCTCGGCTCCCAAGATGTGAACATTGTTCCCTCTGAAAACTTGACTTCTTTTCCTTTTCTTAGAGAAAAGAATCTGGATAGGTCAAACCATCTAGAGATCATAAATCTACCTTCCCAAGTAACTCCCCGAACTCACTTCAATTAAGTCCCTGGGTTCCCTGCAGAATGGGCTTCGAAACCAGAGAACTGCCTGCCTCTGCCTCCCGGGCGCTAGGACTAAAGGTATATGTCCACCACTGCCCAGCTATGCAAGGGGAGAATCCTTAAGGAGCAAGTGAGTGAACCGTCTGCCCAGGGCCTAATAACATCAGGCAATAAGGAAGAAGGTTTTGGTTGTTAAACGCCACGAGATGGATCTTGCAAGACGAAGACAACTTTTCTACTTAGCATTCCCTCCAGCATGAGAGTGAAACCCCAAGCTGAAGACTCCCGCACATTTCCTTCTTGGTTATTAGGGGTGAAGACACCTGTCCATGGGGGTGATGGCGTGTGAGCTAGGTCTAGCCTGTGAAGTACAGGGCAGGAGAGGCCCATCCTGGAAACTGACCAACCTACTGATCTGGCCTCATGTATTGATGGGCTGTGGGAGTTAATCCTCACAGAAATTCCCAAATGCTTGACTCCAGCCCCCTCGGTGCCCCAGAGTGTGTGGGCGCACCAGCACACTGGGCCCCAGTAGCTTGTTTACATACGGGGTGCTCCCAGAATGCTGCTGTTGCCCTGAAGAGCCAGGGCGGTGGAACCAGAGTCTCATGGCTCCGTGGTCTTCGGTAGGCTGGCTGCTGACCTCACAGCTACCTGGCTCGTTGGTGTCATCTTTAGATGAGGACTGTACCAGTCCCATTTCATGGAGGTACTGGATGTAACGCCGTCCCCCAGCCCTCTCCTCCTCCCTGGACCGCTGGTCTTCTCTCCCACGTCACCCAAGAGCTCACACATTTTCCTACTTCAGGGATATCCTCAGCTGCTCTACTCTGTGAAGGCACCCTGATGCAGAATGTGCCTCACCCCTACCCCCCTTAGATTTAATTTTGTCTCTGTGTGTGCAGGAGTGTCCAGAGGCCAGAAGAGGTCTGATCCTATGGCAGCTGAGTTAAAGGTGGTTATGAGTTGCCTGATGTAGGTGCTAGGAACTGAACTCGGGTCCTCTGTAAGTACAGTAAGTGCCCTTAATGGCTGAGCTATCTCTCCAGATCACCTTCTTTTTAAAAGTAAGATGGTCTCATGTAGCTCAGGATGGCCTCAGACTCACTATGCACTGGGAAATGACCTTGAACTACCAAGCGCCAAGGACTACTGGCTCATACCACCACACCCATCTCTTATCCTGGGACATGAGACCCGGGTCTCTTGTTCACTGCAACTTCTTGGCACCAAGCAGGCTCGTTGATTGGCACCAAGCAGGCTCGTTGAATGAGTACTTTCCAGACACCAGAATCAGTGGCTATTGACTCAATACACGTGAGCCCTTTTTAATGGTATCCTGAGGAAGGTTGTGCCCAGGCCTAGAATGTCCCTAAACCCTCTCCCCAGCCTGGCACAGGAGCCCCTGCTGCGGCAGGACCGGAAGATACAGGTAGGCGGTGGGCGTGGTGGTGGGGCGCCCCACCCCGGCTTGTCTCAGCTCTTGGAGTAGCGCCTCTGCAGTGATTCCCGGTAGAAGCGGAAGATGTGCTGCGAGGCAGCCTGGGCGGCAGCCAGACACTGCTGGAGCTGGGAGGGAGGGAGAGCAGAGTCAACCCCAAGCCTACCACCTCCCCTCCCCCTCCTCCTATTACTCCTTACCACCACGCTGGCCGTTCCCTTCCTCACCCCCTAATTCCCACCCCACAATGAGACGTTATACATCATGGCTGCAACAATCATCCTGCCCGGTCTCCTTAGCACGTCACTTCGCCTGCCCGGTCTCCTTCATCCTGCCCGGTCTCCTTCATCCTGCCCGGTCTCCTTCATCCTGCCCGGTCTCCTTCATCCTGCCCGGTCTCCTTCATCCTGCCCGGTCTCCTTAGCACGTCACTTCGCCTGGCTTTATATGGTGCTGGGGACGGAGCCCAGGGTCTCGTGCATGTGAGACAAACCCTCTACCAATAAACCTCATTCTCAAGCCCCCCAAGCCTGCTCCCCTCTTTTTCACATCTAAACCACAGTACACGAGCATGCCCTGTGGAGATTAACGAACACAAGGCGTTGGTTCTCTCCTTCTGCCATGCTGGTCCTGGGGACTAAGTCAGGTGCTTAGGTTTGGCAATAAGAGTTTTTCATTTAGAACCATCTTCCTAGCTCCTGAGATTTTTTTTCTCAATGAAAAGAGACTAAGGGCACTGGGGACCACACTCTGAAAGCAACAGGACCTCAAGTCCCTGAGATCGGAATCCTCACGCCTTGGAAGAACTCAGAGAGTTGGAGATCCTGAGAAATAGTGACATAATCCTTTAACCTTCGAATCTTTTTCTGCTGCTGTTTGTTTGAAACAGGATCTTGCTATGTAGCCCAGGCTGGCCTAGAATTATATACCTAGCTCAAGATGATCTTGAACTTAGCAAGTCTCCTGCCTCATGGCCTGCTGAGAATGACTAGACAGATCTATCTACAGCCTCCGTTTGGGAGACAAGCTTTTATTACATAGTCCAGGCTGTCCTGGAACTCACAGCAGTCCTTCTGCTCCGGCTTTTGAAGTGCTTTGATCACAGCCGTGAGCCCCCGAGCCCAACTCAAAGGACCTCAAGAGCCATGAAATGAGAGATCTAAATCAGAAGAAACACAGGCATGGATCATTTGGGAGTACAGAATTCTAGATGGCACTGTTCTGTGCTGACAACTGGGGACCATTTCAGTCAAGCTGAACCATGTTTTCTGAGCTCATCCTTCAGGCTTTCCTTAAAAACACTACAAAGGAGCTCCCTCTTTTTTAAGACAGGATCTCACAAGGTTGCCTTGGCTGGCTTTGAATTCAGAACCATGCCTGCCTGTCTCCCAAGTGCTGAGATTAAACCTGTGGCTCAGAACCCTGCGCACGCCATGCAGGAACTTCACGAATTAAGCCCTGAAAATGTGCCCTTCCACCCTACCCCACAGCAGGGATGTAAAGAGAGGCTTGCTCTGAGCTGAGAAAAGATGTTATGTTGGCAGGAGAAAAGGTTCTGGGTTGTGCCCTGCCCCCACACTGGTACCTCGGCATCAGAATAGAGCCCCTTGGTGGTGGACATGAGCAGCTTCTGGTCGGCGCTATCCAGAGCAAAGGTCAGGATGGCCCGGGCCTCCTAGGTGCAAGAGATAGAAGGCTGGTAAGTATGCAGGGACCCTCCTTTCTAAGATCTCAGCCGGTCCCCCCCCCCCCCGCCAAAAAAAGTAACCAGACCCTTAGCCTCTTAGTCAACTGCAGCTGTCTGTCTACACAGCACCCCATCCCTAGGGAACTGTTTACTTTTTTGCTCCTCATGGCTTTATTCTGACCAGTTTCCTGGTCCCACAGGGGTAACTCAGTGTTGGTCATTTCCTGGCTGCCTCTCCACCATCCTTCCTTGCTCTGTCCTACACGGGCAAGGCAACATCACAGCTCTCTTGCCACTCCATTTTCCTGGTTATCTGATGGGAACTCGGGAAGCTTCTGGACGAGCATCCCAGTTCCCACTGACAGCAGCAGTTGCAGCAAAAAGCCAGAGGTGAAGTAACAGCCAGGACAGAACACGGTGCTTTTTTTTCTGTGCCTACATCTGTAACATCTTGACCCTGCTGAGGCCCAGCCCACACCGCTAGGGTTTCTGTCTCTTTTCCCCATCGACGCCCTGCTCCTCTGGCTCCTCGGGCCCCCAGTGTCAAATCCTTCACATGAAGTGCAGAGAATGGGCTTCCCTATTGTCACCATCACCCCAGAACAGGGCATAAGAACCGGAGCCCTGCTCTACCGTTTGGGAGTAAATGCAAGTTTCTTTTCTGGCTTGTGTTAAGTCTGAGCTGTTTCTAGCACCTAAAGCTGAATGACCCTTG